CCGATCTATATTCGATAAGTTTGATATTTGATCATATTTTCTTTGAAAAAACTTAGACCGGATTGCCAGGCGAAACGATGGATTTACTTCAAATTCTTTCGCTAAGACTTTACAAATACATTCTTCCTCTTCGATGTCTTACATCAACTCGGCGCCCAAATACTGTGAAACTATTCAATCAAATTTAAACGAAAGTTCCTATTTATACTTCATTTTATGTAAGTTCAAACAATCCAAACAGCAACAAAAAATAATAAACTTTCAAGTTCTACGGATTTTGAATGAAAGTAGTCATAAACAAAGATGGATAGTGGCAAGCAGTTTAATCCTGCATGTACCTGCATTCCAGAGTTGAGGTTCACTCCGGGACTCGAACCCAGTACCGTCCGCTTCAAACTCCATTGCGTTATCCACTTAGCTACTGAATCCTGATAGCCACCTGCTTGTGCAACGGGGTGAAGTTTGAATTCACTTGGTGTTCTGCAGGCACATCCAGATGACGAGTCCGAGATAGGACGAAACGCGCATCCTGGATTCCACTGCTAGCCACTGTTCATCTTTGCTTAAAAAGCTTGTGACTTAAAGCTATATCAAGGCAATCCGCACAGGATGAACATATGCCAAAATGAGACTGATCAATTGCAGTCATAAATAACAATAGGAAGATACAAGTAAAACAACACCAAGTTAATTTAAAAGTAGTCATATTTGCAAAACATAATGATGAAATAAAATACAACTAAAAAGTGATTTATTAAAGTCTCAACTATTCTGTACTGGTTTATGTCATCGTTTTCCACTAAACAGGTAGATATACATATCAAATACTTATCACATTTAAAATCCCTATTGCTTATATTAGAATAGTATGTACAAGTGAATAATACTGTTTTCAATTAGATTTTCATTACGTTTTACTGTAATCTACAGTAACATTTCTATTCGTATATACAAAAAATATTTTACCAATGAAGTTTATAAGTTAACATTAACAATACAAATAGATTACATGACTAAAAAATGCTCCAAAAGTAAATATTATACTTAAAGTAACTTTACTTTAAACATGTAACTTAAGAATAACTGAAAATACTACTCTAATCTACTGTGTTTTGGAACGCCATAAACTGGTTAATTAATTTAGTATGAAATTCATTGAAACAAAATTTAAACCGTCCTAGCAACTGATAAAATTATATTAAACTTAATCATTTATTAATTAAATAAAAAGAAAATGGATTTTATTTTAATAGTTGAATTCATGAAATGATCTAAGCATTACCACTATTGAAAACCTGGAAACACTGGATGACCGTTTCGTCCTAGCATGAGACTCCTCAGCAATGTGCATTTAAGATCCAACACACGGAACTCGAACCCAAAACCTTCGTCTTCACACACGAACGCTTAATCTCCAGAGCATTGGACTGGCATTCAACACTGTTTATGTCTGAATTCAATCAATCCCTTCATCCATTGTCTGAAGTGAATAACTGCCTCCACTTGACATTCATTAAACTCTACTGGTCATGGCTTCTCACTAGAACTCTAGGAAATCCCGCGTGCAGGATCGTGGATGCGCATTGCCGATGAGTCTCATACTAGGACAAAACAGCCAGGTTTTTAAATGATGGTCTAGCTTAAGTTGACTCATGTATTCAACTTTCAAAATCACTACAGTCTCTATAAATCTCTATTCTAATAAATTTTATGTTTACAAAAGTTTTAAGTGACAATAATTATGGCAAAAATCAATATGGTCAACTTTTTCGAAAAAAGCTTTTAAAAATATTGAAGAAATAAATGTAGGGTTGTATACAAATGCTAATATAAAATCAAACTATTCCTTTAAAGTATTTATCAGTAACCAACGAAACACCTGAATGCATTATATATAACTATATTCATGCTTGAGTAACAAGCTAAACTAAAGCGCATTATATAAAAAAAAGTATTTACAAACTGAATCACACAAGAGGTATGCGTTGAACTAATGTATATAAATTTGTTTTCATCCTATAAAGCTTCAAACTGTTATTAAAGAACTATAATTAAACACAATCTCATGTAGCCATAGTGGAGTTTCTCTTTTAAATAGTACAGTCGGAATTTGATCAAGTAGTATGAATGAAAGAAATAAATTCATAAAATAGGTTTCTCATTCTTTTCATTAGTTAGTTATTTAAGCACTATTTTAAAACCATTTAAGAATAGGAATTGTATGAGAAACGAAATCCGTGTTCACAAACATGAATTCAGTATATATTAGATAAATTTCCTTGATGTTTTCATATTAAAACTACGTATGATTAGTTAGGTGACAGTGTTTTTTCATGGTAATCAATTTATTGTACTTTCATATTTAATAAATAAAGCTGATTAAAATATCTTATTCTCTCATGAATTCCTGTATATTATATCTCATTTGGACTGAAGTAGTTTCAAATAATACTTTGCTCTAAAGAACATATTTTGCTAAGATGATCAATTCAACCTCAGTCAGTCAGTTACAACGTAGGACCAGGCACGAACATGCATCTGTTCAAGTTGCCACACCTCAGTGGCACAGCAAGGTGAACAGCGGATTCATAGAAGCAGTTCACTCAATGGTGCGATATATAAAGGAGAGATTTTATGTAGGGATATAGTACAGAAATAAAGAATTGGTTCGTAGAAAGATGTGAAATAATTTTAATCTCTTGGTTTAAGGGAAAGAAGAGAGTGTATGCGCCTACTCCATTGTGATCGATTCTCAGCCATGTCACCTACAGTCTCCAACCATTGGTTACGATGGTCACGTGGACCCCAACCAAGTAGTCTGTATCTACCAACATGGCTCAAACTAGAAGTTAGTGACTCCAAGCACTGATGCTACGTTTTGGTTTGGCCACCCCTAACTTTCTTCTTTCAGTCATCCCCAACACCGGTTAGCATTGCACGTCGTGGTAATCGGTGTTAAGGCATATGCAACACGTGGCCCAACCATCTTGGTCAATGAAGATTCACGACCTCATCAAGTGATTTACCATCAGTCTAACCTCGCTATTACTTGCCAGATTATCCTAGCAGATGCGAGCAATATCTCTAGGACATCTGTGGTCAACTATCAGTAGCTTACGAGTATCTTCTGCTCTTAGTGGCCGTGTTTCGCAGCCGTGAAGTAGAACAGAACGAACTGCCGCACAGTATACTCGTCCCTCAATTGATAGACGGATATCTCGCCCTTGCTAAGGATGACGTAAGTTGATAAAAGCCAAACGAGCTTTTTGAATCCGTGCTGAGATTTCGTCAAACATCAACACATTAGGGCTCGTCAGACTTCCAAGATAAGTGAAGCTGCCAACCCGTTCGACTATATCACTCCCTACCCTACCAATTCAACCTTGGAATCACTGAATAGTTCTTTTGTAGGAGCTGAGAACTCTTCAGATTAGTAAATATATATAGATTAAACCTAGAACTTTTAGAGTTTCCAGTGGATGCATTATATTTGACCTGTCTAATATTTCTGTCTAATATTTCTTGTATCCTGTATATCAACGATTTAAACGCTCGATATACACCATCTCGTTCAGAGATAATTTACTTCTGTTTAATTTACATGAAAAAAAAACTAAGTTATAATATCTTGTTTTGAATGTACAAAGATATGATATAGATAACTATCTGACAAGTTACACAAACAATTCTATTCATTTTACTTATTATTCAAATATATATCCTAAGTTTTTTATACGATCTGTATTGAAATGTTTTCCCTCAAACATTAAGGCCAAATTATTATGAAAAAACTTTATCTATTTCCTTTTTGATTATTTTATTTGTTTCCTTGATGATACATAACAAATCTAACATGATTCTCTATTCATTGACTTACATTTTCATAAACAAAACAAAACAAAACAAAGAAAAAGAACCTACTATAAGATATTTTCCTTCTATGATTCTTTTCAAGTTGTTTTTGAATTAAACATATTGAAATACACACATAAACACACATATAGTTATGTATAAACATACCCGTTAATAATTATAGCATAGATTGGTTTTATAGAAATACATTGACATATAACAAAAGTTCAACGGAAACAGAAACATAGAAACTATATTTTTCTTTAATAGATCATTGTTTGATAGACTATTGATTGATTATAATAAAACAATCAAAAAAAATCTTAAGAACAAGATATAAACAGATGATTATTTTATTTTATTTAAGATTAATTTCTAAATATATAAATAATAAGAAAATGAAATTGTAATTTTAATAGTTGAGATCATGATTTAATTGAATCTAGATCACCATGGAAAACTTGGACGTCCTACTTTGAGACTTCTCAGCAATGCACACCTACGATCTAATCAGATTTTTCATGGTAGTCTAGTTTCAATTGATTTTATGATCTCAACTATTAAAATTACAATAATATGCACAATTATTTATTTATTTATTTTAATAAATAGATATTGGTACAAGGAGGCACCAAATATATATGCGCCACACAAATCTCATTTGATATGTGTGAGGGCTGTAATACTGCCCGAGTGCTCAAACCGAAGCAGGTGGTCTTCTTAGGGAGCCACACCCGGAGCCTTCGATCTGAAGTTTGGATCCACAAGGCAGTGGAGGATCGTAAGAAGATTCAGTCTCATGGTAGCCGGTGACCAACGATTGGTTCATACGCCATTTGTTCTTTCAGGATACTGGAGCCCATGTGCACCATTGGCTTGGAATGAGAGTTTTCCAACTCCCCTAGGTGGAGTTTCCATGTTCACCAACCCGGTTAAAGAGACGGACATTCGCTTTTCGTCTTCTCAATTTCGTAAACAACAATATCCACAAAACGCGTTTTGATATTAAAAAAATTGTATTGAGTTATAGTAAATTAGAAATTGATTTCTACATAGTATGTGTAGGGAGTCTTCTTTTAAGAAATTTAAAACAATTAGTCCCTTCTGGTCAGTCAAGGAAATATTTGATCTTTCCATAATTTAAAGTTTTAATCTCTGATTGTTTTTATCATCATCATCATCATCATCATCATCATCATCATCATCATCATCATCATCATCATCATCATCATCATCATCATCATCATCATCATCATCATCATCATCATCATCATCATCATCATCATCATCATCATCATCATCATCATCATCATCATCATCATCATCATCATCATCATCATCATCATCATCATCATCATCATCATCATCATCATCATCATCATCATCATCATCATCATCATCATCATCATCATCATCATCATCATCATCATCATCATCATCATCATCATCATCATCATCATCATCATCATCATCATCATCATCATCATCATCATCATCATCATCATCATCATCATCATCATCATCATCATCATCATCAATTTGCTGTGTAGTTTCAACTAAATCTAATCTGATTATTTTTTTAAACAGTTAAGAATCTGGAGTTCACTATCCTTTCAAATTCATGTTGTTTGAAAATAGTCCAGTGTTGTTTTCCTTTTTTCTATTATTTACTGAAGTGAAACAATATTATGAAGAGAAAACAATGTCCAAGAGTCAAATTTCACCGTTTAGTATGATCATTTATTCATTGATAAATACGTAAACTAACATTTTAACTGTAATGCCATGACAATAAATAAGTAGTATATTTAATTATTTAATAAAAATAACAAATATAATAAGCGTATAGTCAAAAGTGAAAAAAACAAAAGAAAATTTAATTGTGATATGTGTTGCTTATGTCTATCGCCATAAATGGTATATAACATCAATCAAAAATGGAATACCTGACAACAAAATGTTGAAAAAATTGTACTGAGGAAAACAGAAATGGAAGCATAAAAGAATTGAGAATTGAAAGAATCATAAAGGATGTAAAGATCACCATAGAAAACCTGGAATCACTCATGAATTCAACTATTAGATTACTATCATATCCACAAAACCCCTATCTGACAATATTTTTATTGGTTACATTTTTCTACATCTAAATAAAAATAAGATAGGAATGATGTGGATTTAAAGTAACCTAAATACTTCAGTAGAAAGTAAATTATCATATAAAAACATATAACTAATTGATTTGTATACATCCATGTGTTAATTTGTCACCCTGTAAGAAATAAGAGTCATTAATGCTTCATTAACTTATTATTCAAAGATCATGAAAACAAAGAATGACTCGTATTTATAAGTGAAAGTGAATTAAATCAGTATATATCGAAACTGATATTTTAATAGATAGCTAATTTTGAAGAGGTATATATATATTACTGAATCATAAGTAGACGTATTCAAATATCTTCGATTGTTTTATAAATCAATCTGTTTACTTGAAAATCTCAACGCTATACCAAACCAATTCGCTGTATATATATACTACATATTTCATTTGTAATATGTCTGTAATACTTTAAGCATAACGTAAATTTTATTTTTCGAATTGTGGAGATTGTTGAACTTCATTGGAATCATGAACTGATCAATGTATTATCGCCATTAAAAACCTGGAAACATTGGAAGGCCATTTCGTTCTAGTATGAGATTCCTTAGTAGTTCGAAGTCCCAATCTAGCACGAGGTATTTGAACCCAGGACTTTAGGTTTCGTGCGCGAACGCTTAACCTTCAGACCACTGAACCGACGTAATATTTCAGTAATACTTGAAGATGCTATTAATTGAACAAAATTTTTTGATTTGGGCACAATGTAAACTTACTTACATGCTCTAATCTAAATGATCATTTCATATGGTAGTATTTTGTTTTCTGTTTACAAATATCTTCAGGGAAAAAAACGAAAACCTAAAACTTGTATGAATTTGAATAATGTCAATAATTCAAAATTAATTTATTTCCTGAGGACATGTCTGCATATATATATATGCATTTGACATGGAAGACAAAGAAAGAGTTCTCTATACATTAAAAATATGAAAATAAGCTGCACATTGTATAGTCTTGTAACTCAGAAAAATACCTACCTTGAATTGTTTGAGTGAAACTTTACAATAGTATCTCATTTATTCTAGGTCGTATACCATCATGGTATCGCTCAATCCCGTGGATTAGTTGGAGTTAAACATTAACACCGTTAGATGTCGGTCAGCCCAGTGGTCTAGTGGTTAAGTGCAAGCGCGCGAGACCAGTAGGTCCTCAGTTCGAATCCCGCGAGGCAGGGTCGTGGATGCGCACTCCTGAGGTGTCTTACAATAGGACGAAACGGTCGTCCAGTGCTTCCAGGTTTTCCATGGTGGTCTAGCTTCAATTGACTCATGAACTCAACAATTGAAATCAGATAATTACTTTATGAATTTTAATAACTACATTTATAGTACAGACAGCTTTTCAATGTTAATAATAGTTTTTTATGTTCTCCAAATCTTTTGAATTTTTGTTTTATCTATATCCATTAATGGATTCGGATAAACGAAATGTGGGACTTTTGTGAGGATTAATGCGAAATAACCCTAGATGAATTATAGGTTTAAGCACTCATAAGCTTTAAATTACCAAAATCTCCATTTAACATTGCTATTTATTTACAATTAACTTAACTACTAAAAATTGATATACGGTAAATACATCAGTCAAGTAACCATTTTAACTTAATATTAAGATTCATATCAATAATTTGGCAACAATATTAAGGGTAACCGACGCAACAAGTTTCTACGCATTGAATGTCGAATTAAAATGAATCTTTTGAGTAAGAAACAATTTATCAAAGAAGGGTTTTGTTAAGATTTTAGTTATTTAATATTTGAATTCATGAGTTAATTGAAGCTAGACCACCGTAGAAAACCTGTAAGCACTGGACGACCGTTTCATCTCAGTATGGAACTCATCAGCAATGCTTACCAACAATCTCACATCGCAGGATTCGAACCCAGAATCTATTCATTGAAATTCAGTTGCTTGCAATGAGATCAGTTTGATTTGATTCAAGTGAAATATTTTAATATTAAAAAGTTTCATTTATCCAAGTTCATCATTAAAATTAATCATAGAAAAACGTATAATACAATCACTTTTTTCATATATAAACTGGTTATCAAATGATGCAATTAATGTTTTTGTTTGTAATTTGCATCTAATCATAATAATCATAAATGGAATATAGAAACGATATGGAAATTAAACTTGCTTATACTTAGAAAAGAAATTAAGTAGATAATTACTTATCCAAACAATAACTTTATATAAGTATGTTTACATTCATGATAGCCAATATATTGTCTGTTTAAAAAGAAAGAAAACACATATGATACGTTGAACTGATTTAATAAAACAAAACTCTGCATTTTCATTGTTTTAAACTTGATTAACGATTTAACATTTTTATTGTTAAGTGTATTTGAGTCAATTGGAGATGTTTTATAAACAACATTTGTCATTGTAAATGGATCATTCCTCACTTTTTCAGTTAAAACATTCGTGTTCTGAATGAATAGACACATACTTTAATTCTGAGTTGTGTCAGACATTTTTTCGATTGGTTTTGACAAATATTTATGCTCACTAATGACTGGATTCAGGATGGATTTCATAGAGTTCTAGTAAGAATCAGTGACTAGTGGAGTTCAATCAGGTCTGTTGTGAGATACTAACTCACTGATGTGTCGCTCAATTTCGTGGATTGGTTAAAGTTGAATGATAACACTGTTGGTTTAAAGGTTAAACGTTCTTTCGCGAAACCGATAGGTCCTGGGTTCAAATCCTGCACGGCAAGATCGCAGATATGCTTTGCTGGGAGTGTTATAATAGAACGAAAAGGTCGTCCAATGCTTCCAGGTTTTCCATGATGTTCTAGCTTCAATCGAATGTTAGATACTGACTCGTTTTGCGTAAAGATGTCAAATTAAGGTCTTCTGATTTCTATGGCTTGTGCAAACTTTCATAAGTTGGAATTTGACTTCTGTTTGATAACTTTGCACGAGCTCATTACATCATAATGTGTTTCGTATCTAATTCATGACATCCCATCGAAATATGTTGGAGGTTATTTCTTCGAAGTCGTAGATTATTTGAAATTTTTTCATTAAAACGAGTAGAAACCCCATTTTTTAAAATGTTCCTAGTCCACATATCTTTGCATGTACATGTAAACTGATACATCAAACTGCATTTTATATATGACTGACATTTATCTGTCTTAGTTTGTGCTACTAAGGATAGTGTTATATCTAGTGGTATCAATTTCTCAGATAATGAAAATCTAATAAAAACACTTTCTTCGGTTTAGCATACTCTTTTTTCTTAATTCGATATATATATTACTATATTTCTTTGTAAATGTTTGAGAGTATGCAAACAATTATTCACTATAGCATACTCCTCCTCAAGTTTTTATTAAATACTCTTAAGGAATTTATATATTCATAATCAGTCGTAAAAAAATATTACCCTAAATGTTCTGATGAAATCATGATTATCTATGCTTTATTTCATAGCCTTAAGACTTTAGTGTTAACTATAACATATAAACTGAAACTCAAGAGAATGTAACAAATGTAATTCATGTTTAACAGTTTATTTTCATAAAAATTTACATGCTCAAGAACACGAAGAATAACAAAAATGTTTAACAGTTTGCATTTTCTCATTGATATTAAGAACTATAATTAATCAATCACCTTTCGAATATATTCAACCTGATCGGATTACCTCGAAATCTCCAGATATTCTCAATGTATTTTGGTGAAGTTGGTTAGTGACTAGCACTGGATTCTAAGACTCTTATTTCTTTCTATTTAGGATCCATATTCACCTAACTAAATTGTCCCATATAGAATGGATTACAGTGGTACTCAATATCTAACTTTATAAAAAATACTAGACGAATTAGTCATTTAAATTTTGAAAGATAAATATTGTCTACTCTCGGACTTAAAAGCAAAATTATTCCTCTAATCTGATGAATTGAAATGAAATATTTGATAAAAGTGATGCTTCAAATAATTACTTTTACTAAGCTTAAAAATTAAGAATATTTGAGTGAACACTTAGTTTCAGCAACTTCATCACCGGCTCTACAGGTATAAATTCATAATTATTGTGTTAACGTACAAAAACTCAAATAAGACATGCTAGATAATCAGAAGGGTTTTGTTATGATGTTAGTAACTTAATAATTGAATTCATGTGTCGATTGAAGCTAGACCACCATGAAAAACGTGGAAGCACTGGACGGTCATTTCATCCTAGTATGGGACTTTTCAGCAGTGTGCATCCACGATCCCGCCTTGTGATATTCAAACCTAAGATCTATCAGTCTCGTGCGTGAACAGTTAACCTCGAGACCACTGAGTTGGCCAGCATCGAACGGTGTTAATGTCTAACTTCAACCAATCCACGAAATTCCGTCACGTCCACCAT